AAATAGGTTTAGGATAGAGGACTAACGCACATAATATTCATTTAAACAAACTTTATTGACACAGTATTCAACATAGAGTAAGGTACAAATATCATAATCTTAATAAGTACTATTACGAACAAAACAAACTTCTTTCGATTTTTTGGTATAAATATTGATTCAATTAACAGTCTTCAGTGGTTGACACCCGAATCCATGATGCTGACGTAAGCACTATCTCGACCCCCCCCCCCCCCCCTCATCAAAAATAAGCAAAGCAAAGACCCCCTGCCCTTCTATAGTATTTACGTAATACTTGAACAGGCCCTATGTGCTATGTGCACTTTTTGGACATTTCGAAATTTTCTTTGTTATAACTCGTTTACTAACCAAATTTTCGAATACAAAGACTACGCTATGTGAATCTTAGCATTTTAAGTATCACGGTACACATAAGTTGTTTCATAAAATTTGCTATGTGCGTCAACCAAAATAGTGCTGAATATTAATTGCTTTCTCTAGAAGTTTATATTTTTGCTTATAGATTTGGTTCAACAACGACTATTTGAGTTAGTATGTCAGAGTTTGATTTTTAGTCAAGCCAGAAAAACATTTTCATATTTAGGAGTTGAAATGTTTGTGGAACCTATGTTGTTTGTATTTACAACTAGTGGCCCGCCCTCGCTTCGCTTCGGTGTAGAGCTGTAGTGTAGACTAAAATGCCTCTTCAATTAATTATAAAAAAAAAACTGAAAATGGTATATTATGTAAATTTGCCTTTTCCATCCTTCTATTGACATCACCTCACTCAATTGTGTTGCCTTCCCGGAACCTCTCCACTAACATTTGAAATTTATGCTATGGTATTAAAGTTCAAATTGACTTTTAATTATTGCGAATCGTTTGTATGGGAGTATAGAAAAGTGTTGTTTTTGGAAATTTTCAGGCATTTTCTTTATTATTTCTCTACGTAAGAACCATCCTCGTACTTCAAGGAATATTCTTAAAAAAAGAATTATCGTTATCAGTTTAGCTGTTCTCTAGATTTGCGCTTAGCAACACATTCAGCGATTCATTTTTATATTATAGAAGATAACATGAACATCCAAGTTACAAAAGTTTTAACCGGAGGATTGTTTTTGTGACGTTTATTATTTAGACGAATTATCATCGATGAAATGTAATTCAGTAAAACCTCCGTGGCTGAGTGGTTTGTACGCCGGGTTTCACGGTGTCGCCGACTCGAGAGGTCCCAGGTACGAATCCCGGTGGGAGCAGATGTTTGTGTGATGAATACGAGCATTTATACTCCAGTCATGGATGTTTAATATAATATAATCCTATAAACATATACTTATATATGTACAGTATATGTATTCTATCCATTACCCTAATATCTCATAACACAAACCTTACAGTACTTACTTTGGGGATAGGCTGATTGGTGTGAGTGTTGAAAATATTTATTTATTAAAACAGTTTTCGCAGGGGAGTAGGCAGCTCTATTATTATACGATAAAAATACCAGCTTCACGCAATCTTTTGCCGTGTAATTTGATTAGAAAATTGTTGTTTTTAAAGTAATGACAAAAATAAAGATCTAAAAAAGTGCTAAAAAGAGGAGAAAAGTCTTTCTTCGACTTACGACTATCATCATTAAATTGATGAATTAAAACCAAATTACATTAATTTGGTATTCAATCCAAATTAAATAAATGTGGTATTTGATTCCACGAAGAAGGAAAATAAAAAACCTACTGCGAATAATTATTGGGTTGATATATTTTATAACATCACTCCTATTGTTCTGACGCAATCTACGTTTTTGTATCATTGGGATACATTATTAAAATTACAAGCACGCTACGCTAAGACCCGTATTATAGAAAGACTAGTGGCCCGCCCTCGCTTCGCTTCGGTGTAGAGCTGTAGTTTAGATTATATTTTTGTTCTCAGGTTTCTATTAAACACAATGACTTTCTTTAAATACCTAATTACTAAAGACACGCGCCCGAACCGGTATGTTCCTGCATTTTAAATCTGTAATAATAATATCTTCGAAAATATTCATTTAAATTACATGCTGTAGAGGGTTATATTGATCTATATTACACGCACAATGTATTTAAGGTACCTAATTGGATAAGGATTAATGCTGTATTGCTTAAAATCGCTTGTTCGTAAATAAGCCATTATTTTCTCGTAATAAGTAATTAAAAAATGGTTATTGTGGGTTATACCAAAGAGATAGGCATATACCATCGCAGACTTTTTTGTAGACCATTTTAAGATGTACAATACTGTAGTACATTGTTTTGATCTATCTCGTTGGGTTCAGCCAGCGTTTGCTATGTAAGCGCAAAAAAATGTGTTTATTTACGACCTTATATTAACACCTCTAAAATGATCAGTGTTTCTCTACTATATTATGCATGTATTATATATATAAACCTTCCTCTTGAATCACTCTATCTATTAAAAAAACCGCATCAAAATCCGTTGAGTAGTTTCAAAGATTTAAGCATACAAAGGGACATAGGGACAGAGAAAGCGACTTTGTTTTATACTATGTAGTGATGATTCTCAGTGATCGCTCTAGTCTTGAGCATAGTTAGAAAGGGATGTCGCTATATAAAGCACATAGCGATATCGCTTTCTAATTGTACTCAAGTAAAGATCAACACTTAGTTGTCATTCTGTAATACGGACCTTAGACTGTATTGTTTCAAACGCTATTTGGTTTTGGTATCATACCTACATAACCAAGAAAAGTTTCACCAAATTTTCGGCTCACACTTATTGGTGTGAGCGCACAGACTCAGAACTTTATGGGATTAAGGCACATCAAAGTAATCGTGTTTTAATTCATCATCATTATACAAGTGAATTGGGAGTGAGGATGGAGGCGTTATTAGCATTTGAAACGCGTCGGGGCTCAGAGGGAAGTGGCTGTTTGGAATCGTTCCAAGTACCTTAGACATTTCGTAAGTTACTGTAGCTTTACGCGAACGAAAGATGCCCAAGCTTATAGATGGCTAAATTTGTTCTTATTATTTTCACGAACACCAATCTTATAATAAAAAAAAAGAATCTTTAGAATTTTATTCTTCTTTCGTCAAAATCGTTGTCTTTTGACATCGCAAAGATGACAGCAAATTTAATTAACCTTATTATTGCCTATCAATTGAAATAAGATAGAGATACATTAAAATAACACAAACTTCAAAACTAAATAGCTTAACCTACTTAGCTACTTAAATAAATAATTTACAATATAAAAAATATTTACCCCTAGCGGCGCCATCAGGAATGGTGTCCAATAGGCTAGCAGCATTGCCGCGTTTGATAGCAAGGCTGATCCGTTGACCAAGATAGCTGCCAGCCTTTTGATCACCAGTCACTTCGGTGAGCCTCTTTGACAATTCCTTAAAAAGGGAACGAGCGCTTGGGCCCCATGGGCCCATTGTCTCAAAAAGTCAAGAATGATGAAATAATGAACTGGCTGGTTTCCAGTGTTACATACATACATTATTAATATGATTTGATGAATGTATAAATTCATTTATAATTGACTTCGATATAACAAAAAGTAAGGCTAAAATATTGATAGCCATTTCGCTTAATGTTTTCGATAGCTTTATCATATTTTGTTTTTGCTATCGACTTTGTATAATACTCCTAATTGTAATTATTGAAAACAAAGCAACAGTATTTGTTTCTTAGGTTATAACGGATACCACTAATTAAATAAAATAGACATTGTGGGTTACCTACAATGCGAAGAGATGGCGCTGTCTTGCAGCTTAAGAAAGGCTAGAAAGAATTCGACACGGCCATCAGGGCCGCGGTAGCATAATGGTCAGTGCATTCGCCCGGATAGCGAAGGGTGCGGGTTCGAGTCCCGTTTGCTGCCTGGTCCGCGTGGATTTTTTTCTAGTAATATTTTCTTTAGATTTAAACATCGAGCAGTTACATGCTTGAAAAATAAAAATTATAACTAAATAAAACAAGTTTCAACGGTATAGATGCACTGACTTATTTGTTTTTCGACGATTCTCATCATTTTCAGGCTGCGGCGGCAAAATTTCTTTTGTTGTTTTACAATCTGGATAAAACAGTGGCTTAAATTGTGTTTTTTTTAATTTAGATTAACTTTAGTAAGTCCATTTATTTTTTTTCGAATATGATTGTACAAAATATAAATCACACTAATATTATGAAGGCGAAAGTTTGCTGTGTGTGGGTGAGTATGTTTGTTACTTCTTCATGTCTAAACGGCTGGAGCGATTTTAAATCAAATTTGGTATAGCGTTAGCAGTTAGATTTAGTCTGATATCCTGGATAAATAGGCTTCGTTTTACTACGGGAAAATATCCCTAATAAACCGCGGGTAACACCGCGGGGTATTTAAACAAACAAATTTAAACACATTTACATTCGGTTAATTCACAAATCACTATATTATATATTAAAGAAAACTTTGCCACAAGCTATTAAACTTGAAACGGGAAACAATATCCTCCGACCGCCTTAAACATTTATCCTGTAAGCTTAATCATAACTTTTTGTTTCAGCTCGACATAAATCATGCGGGTGTTTAGGACAACGGGGTCGGGGAGGAATTAAAAAAAACGAGACGAAATAAGGAAAGGCGAACCGGGCCATTCTTCTTCCGCCCTCATCGCTTACCGAATCTCCGGGTTGTCCGGCCCTCATGAATATGACATCAGCGGTCGCCGCGAGTTGATGTATGCGCGCACTATTCATCACTCAGGATAACTGGACATAGAAACGAGCCCTTTAACGTAACAGAGTACCCGAAACTCGCGTACGCTGATACTGATAACCGTGATCCGTCATTCGTGAAAATTAATACCCTAGTGATTTCAAACTATGAAAATATTAGTGGTGCGGCGATGAAAATACTCGCGTTCACTGATACTGATTACTGCGCTCCGCTGTTTCGTGTGAAATAGATACCACGTTTTTTTTCTGATAATGATAATAAATGTGAGGTGACAATGAGAAGGAGGCCGCTACCACCGGTCCGCGAAGAAGTGACAACTAAATCGTGGAGTAAATGTTGCGAGAACGATTTAGCAGTTTATTCGCTGGTCTCCCTCGTCGGTGCTCTCACTTATGCGAATAGTTTGAGCGGGGAGTTTGTGCACGACGATATACCCGCCATAGTGACTAATAGTGATGTGAACGGTGCTAATAGTGTGGTGAAGTTGTTCAAGAATGACTTTTGGGGTACGCCGATGTCAGACCCTAATAGTCACAAGTCGTACCGGCCGCTGACTACGTTATCTTTCAGGTGAGTGTTTTTTGAAGTGAAAACTTCTTTAGCGGCGTTGTACACTTTTTTTTTGTATGGGTAAAAAATGTTAAACTCGCTTCAGGTTAAACACGTGGGCTGATCGCATCATGACACACAATAAACTTGGAAAGGTTGTTGACTTTCAATATATTAAGTCTAGTCTCTATCTAGGACCTCCACATGGCAGCTATATTGCGAAGAAAAAGTATTTTTTTACAATAGATGTCGCTAGGTATATAAATATACAGATATGGAAAAATGATGTAATGTTTATAAATATACAGTCGTCAAGTTGAACAATGACTTCAGAGATATTCCTGAAGTCATCTTTCATTACATCATTTTTCCATATCTGTATATAAATATACAGAGTCGTCAAGTTGAACAATGACTTCAGAGATATTCCTGAAGTCCCCATCCATTACATCATTTTTCCACTACATAAAAAATATATAGTTAACTTTATATTTTAAGTATATAGGAAGCGGCATTAGATCTCTAGAGGTCTGTATATAAATATACAAAGTCGTCAAGTTCAGCAATGACTTCAGAGATATTCCTGAAGTCACCTTCCATTACATCATTTTTCTACTACAAAAAATATATAGTTAACTTTATATTTTTAAGTATATAGATCTCTAGGGGTCTGTTTATAAATATACAGAGTCGTCAAGTTGAACAATGACTTCAGAGATATTCCTGAAGTCACCTTCCATTACATCATTTTTCCACTACAAAAAATATATAGTTAACTTTATATTTTTAAGTATATAGGAAGCGGCATTAGATCTCTAGGGGTTTGTATATTTATATACAGAGTCGTCAAGTTGAACAATGACTTCAGAGATGCTCCTAAAGTCCCCTTCCATTACATCATTTTTCCACTATATAAAAAATATATAGTTCACTTTATATTTTTAAGTATATAGGAAACGGCATTAGATCTCAAGGGGTCTGTATATTTATATACAGAGTCGTCAAGTTGAACAATGACTTCAGAGATGTTCCTAAAGTCCCCTTCCATTACATCATTTTTCCACTATATAAAAAATATATAGTTCACTTTATATTTTTAAGTATATAGGAAACGGCATTAGATCTCTAGGGGTCTGTATATTTATATACAGAGTCGTCAAGTTGAACAATGACTTCAGAGATGTTCCTAAAGTCCCCTTCCATTACATCATTTTTCCACTATATAAAAAATATATAGTTCACTTTATATTTTTAAGTATATAGGAAACGGCATTAGATCTCTAGGGGTCTGTATATTTATATACAAAGTCGTCAAGTTGAACAATGACTTCAGAGATATTCCTGAAGTTACCTTACATTACATCATTTTTCCACTACAGCATGGCCTGGATGAATATTACAGGGAGAAAAAACAGCCCTTGCTGAGTTTCTTTCCGGTTCCTCTCAGTACAAGGTTTCCCGCCGTAGTTTTGCGAACCAATGGCGTAACTTCTTGACCTTCACAAGTGCTTGTAACAGCTTAGACTGAATAAAGGATTTTTGAGTTTGAATATATTATACAAAATGTGTCTGCAGAGTAAACATAACATCTTTACGTGAGAACGAGCTCTATATGATGTTTTAAAGCTTTGCTTTGTGTGGGCTCTGATTATATTATAGTCGGATATGTACACATACAATATATTATGAAATACAAAGTTAGCTCCCGTTAAATCAGTTGTTTTGGAGATACGTGCCGGATGTTAAGATTACATTGTTTGATGGTGATCATCCCAAACACTCATGTCTACAGCATTTTTAATGAAGACATCGTCAAGGATTATTGAAGGATTTAATTTGATGCTAGTAGAACTTTCATCTTAATCTGGGGCTCTAATGGCGAGATTGCGCGTCAATCTCTTGTTTTAAGACGATAAGATACTTCATTAATCATAAAATATATTTTATAAATACAACTGTTGCTTGTCTAATGTGTTTTAATACCTAAATAAAAACAGTCAAGACTTTATCTATACCCATGATATGAATTCTCTGTGAGAGATTCTGAGACCATGGGGCGTTCTAAGAACTTAAAATTCATGAAAAGTTTTTTATTTTTACAACCGGCGAAAAAACGGAGCAGGTTATCAATTCGGCGCCTTGAAATATTTGATGTATAATTTTTTACGGAGTAATCCGATTTGGCAATTCTTTTTTATAGAAAAGGGTATAATCCGAAGTTTGTCCCATGTAAATATGCAAAGAAATCATTTTTTTAAATAAATATTTCCAACACACACACCTATTAGCCTAGCCCCAATGTAAGCACTATTAGGCTTGTGTTATGGGATACTAGGGTAACGGATAGAATACATATACTGTACATATATAAGTATATTTATATAGAAATACATATTAAACATCCATGACCGGAGTACAAATGCACGTATTCATCACACAAACATCTGCCCCCACCGGGATTCGAACCTGGGACCTCTCGAGCCGGCGACACCATGAAACCCGGCGTACAAACCATTCGGTCACGGAGGTCGTCAATTTTAGGAAAGTTGCTGTAATTGTAAAGCGAGGGTGATATTTTTTTCATCCTCTACCTCGTTGTGTGGACTATCAATAGGTCTTTTAAAATGACTTCGAGGTCCCTAAGACTATTTTTCGATTTAGGGATTCGTATATGAAATATCAAACTTTAAAGTGAAATCTTTTGTTCGAGTATGTCCCTAAAAGCTAAAATAAAATATTGGCTTGCAAAATCAGAATAAATCATGGTAATAGTGCTTTTCATGAACTTTCAAAGAAAATTATGATGATTAAGATAGATCAGTTAGTTTAAGAGTAGTCGTTCAACTTAGGTATTAGGAAATTTCCTACCTAATAAAAATTCCTTATGCTACATTTACACTCTCGCCTCGTACCTCGCCTCGTGATTCGTCTCGTATCACAGCTTGCGCCTTGCGAGATCGATGGTAAATGAACTGTCTGTTCACATTCTCGTGGTGAGTTCAGTTGTATTCGAGCTGGCAAGAAAGACATGTTAGCGGAACAAGTCTTTGCTTACTAATTTCTACTGCTATGCAACTACTACTATACTTATAAACAGATCCCAAAAATGTTTCCATGGCATCTTAGTATAGCCACACTGGCTTTTAAACATCATCTTCTCCTGCGACGGATTTTTTTTGCGACGCAGATGATGACAAAAGGTTGCCGTGAGAGTTTTTTTAATTTTTTTAAGTCAGTTGAAGGTCTACACATTTCTTTACTTAATCTTACCCAAGCATCATTCACTTTTTGGTTATTTTTATAAAATTTATGCATGGGATCTCAGATTATGGGTTCTTTTTGAAATAATTACAAAACCGAAACGTTTCTTCTTCAGACCAATCCATTTAGGCAGTTTGCAAGTATTTTTATCTATTCGGTTTGCAAGCCACAACCTGTGCGGCACAAGGTTAAAACTCGAATGAAGCGAGAGCGCGAATGTAAGCACCACGCTCGCGTTTGTTGCGAGGTCCTTTGACTCGTCCCCAAAATACCGCTCCGGACGCGAGCGCTGCGAGGCGAGCCGCGAGCGTCTATTTACACTCTCACCTTGTGCCTCGACTCGTGCCTCGTCTCGCAACTCGTACGCGAGTCTAAATGAGGCATGAAGAACACATTAAAGGTGACTTAGTAATTACTTGCTTATATCGCGTAAAACCTTGATTATAAAAAAAAATACAAAAATATCATGTTTAAAAATAACACAACAAATTTTTTTGCATCAAATTATCCTTGAGTCAAGGACTCAACAAATTTGCATGTTTTTTAGGTCCGATGTTGTATAATAAAATAAATCAAATCATTCCTATTTATCATCCTTCGAGGTATGAAATTAAAGGGGTTTTGAGTGATTGGCTTCTGGGCTTAACGTACATTGAAACTGAAAACCTTCTGTCTGTTCCATCTTGAATCTTCTAATGCATTTTATTATTTATTTTTTGGATTTGATTTTTCGTTTTAATGGATTTTGTATGGCAAATGTATGTGCATTACATACACGCACTCACCACATGCAAGCTTACAAACACACACACACACACACGCACACGCACAAACACACATTAACAGACACCCACGCACAAACATGCACACACTCAAACACCCGCGTAGATACACACAACTTGATTATTATTAGCGTTAAATTAGTTATTAATTTAAGTATATTATATATCATATCGTTTATTCTCTCGTGAAAATGAGTTTATTGAATACTAAAATGTAGTATTAAAGTGATGACCGGCGCAGTGGGAGCCTGGTGATCTGTAATACAGGTTTCACAACCTAGTGCAGACACCAGTCTCAGGAAAGGTTAAAATTATTTGCTAATTATATTTTGTATTTTATAATGTAAGACTTTGTAACCATTCTTGAGAGAAATAAATAGATTATTATTATTATTATTTCCACGGAAACCTACACCTACAGTTTTTGCTTTTCGGCGGATTACGAGTATATGTACAATCGTAATCCAATCCACACTGGGCTCATTGTCACCCACCAATCCGCGCTGGTTCGTTATCACCCTCCAATCCGCACTAGGTCCGTTATCACCCACCAATCCGCACTGGGGCCATTGTTACCCACCAATCCACGCTGGGTCCGTTATCACCCTCCAATCCGCACTGGGTCCATTATCGGCCACCAATCCGAGCTGCATAATCTAATGATCGATCAATATGATTATCTGTACCAATGTGGCTGTCTGATCATACATTTGCATAAAATTATGGTTCTTAGCTACATGTTTTAATGTTTGCAATAAGTTGTCTCAGAATCTTTTATAATACAAGTTTTAAAGCATGGGTGGATTCACATTATAACAAAATGACTTCGTGAATCATTTATTACTAAGTACCTAGTTTTGTGTAAGAATTCGTAAAACAGACCTCA